GCGTGTGTGTGTGTGTGTGTGCGTGTGCGTGTGTGTGTGTGTGTGCTGATGCTGGAGCATCAGGCTCTATTGTTGTTCCTCACACTGGAGCCCAAGAGCGGGCACAGACAGCGTGGTGTGGGGGAAAGGGGGTGTTCACACATACACGCACAAACACACACACTTTGGCAGGAGGCCAAGGCTTTTCCCAGCACCGGCTGTGCTTGTCTCTTGCTGTGTGTCAGTCTAATCAGGCTGAATCAGACTGTGGCATTGAAGTATTTTATCTGCAGTTTCCAGCCTTGTCTCATGCACGCATGAACACATATAGAATCATTCAAGCAAAGCATGTATATTACAATTCATGTTTTAATTTGTATCTTTCTCTCTCTATATATACAAATATAAATATAAAATATAAATAAAATACACTTAAAGAGAGTGTATTTTCATGACAATGTTTCTTAAAATACTTAAAAGTCCCTGTTTTAAATATGTTAAATTAAAAGTTATTTCTGTAATACTAATAAATGCATTAAATTGCAAAAACTTTTACATTGTTACAAAAAAATATTTAAAATAAATGCTGTTCTTTTGAATTATCTATGCAATAAAAAAATCTGAAAAATTAAGCTGCAAAATAGTTTTCAGCATTGATAATAATGAAAATTGTTTCTTGACTTGATATGATTTTTGAAGGATCATGTGACAATGAAAACAGCTGATCATTTATTTATTTTTTGTTATTTTAAATTGTGATGATATTTCCCAATATGATGTTTTTTTACTGTGTTTTTGAACAATAAAAAAATGGTGAGCGTAAGAGACTTCTTTTGAAAACATAAAAAACATGTAATAAAATAAAAATTGCAACCCACACTTTATCATAGGAATGTATATCACATTACAAAAGAATGATGTTGCCACTCTTCCCTTGTATATTTACAGCAAATAGCGGCATTATAACAGTGACTGGCCAACTGGCGAGTACGCTTTATTTACTTGCCAAAGCCAATTTCCACTTTTCCCTTCTGACGACACTGAGTGGAAACAGATTCAGATCTGCCAAAAACCAAACCAGGACTGCACCATCAGTACAGCACCATGTTTAGAGGATAAAGGCTGATTCATGAATGCTTTAAGACCAAATCATATGGTAAGAGGCTTCAAAAACACATTTAATACCAGGAGATACCATCCCTGCAATTCATTAACTGTTTACAGTTGGTTATTGCCCTGAATATAACATGCATGCATGCTTATATGAACTCAATCACAATTCATTACACAGTGAAAGCTACGTGTGAGTGTAAAAGAGTGAAATGAGACACTACTGCACTTTGTCTATGATGTTACGGTCTGGACCGACTGTTTACTGTACTTCCAAAAATCCGGAAATCCATTTTGAACCAGATTTCAAACCACATACACACTGTAAAAAACAACCGTGAATTTAACGGTAAAAGACTGTAAAAATGCTACAGTAAAAACCTGTTAAATGGTTAACGGAGGTTTGGATCAATTTTTTTCAGTTTCAGTTCAGACAACAAGCAACTAAATGTATTTGAGTTGGATACGCCAAGAAATCAGATTTTTTGCTGCCTGCTGAAAAAAGCATTCACTAAACCCTGTCAAAACCAATGCAACACTTCCAGACTGGATTAGCAAATAATCTTCTTCATGGCCCTTAAAGCCTGGCCTGCCTCCACCCAGTGTATTGATCAGGTGATTGATTATGTAATGAATTAATAACCACTTTAGAGGAGACAACAGAACACAGATGCTTCACAAAAACAATCGCTCATTTCATCAATGCATGATTCGCCTCATCTGATGTTGTGAGCCAGTTTCACACAGTCATATAATGTTTAATAAGCAGTGCTAAAGAGAACTTCAGAAGGAAGTAACAGCTTATAACAGGAAGGATAACAAAGGAGGGGTCCAAGCATGACAATCAACACAATTATTATGAGAGAATGTGTATTGTGTGGAAATGTGTAACTATCTAAATACATGACACAAGATTCAAATTACTTTAAATGGTTAACTAAAGATTTTAGTTCATCTTAAATCAGTACACTTTTTTTCATAAACAATATAAATAATTATGAAATGACAAAAAAGGTGTACTTAGAAAAGCACTCAAAATAGAACCTATTGAACTATAAACGTTCCATTTGGTTGTAATATATTCCAATATAAAGTATATTCTTTTAAATGTATTTCCATAATAAAAATTCTGTTTAAAAGTGTGCTAAAGCATGCTTATTTTTCACAAGGGCACATAGTCCTGTGTTGGTATAGAAGAACATCTAACCATAAATACTGAATACACAGGCAGCGTGTGAGCCATATGTGGCTGAAGAAGGTATAAAACCCTCTTCAGATCGCTGAGTGTGGCGCTTGTGAATGGATTACTGTTCACTCAGCCACATAACGTCTTTTCTCTAGGAGGGCAAACACCCACTACAACTGGATGTGGCAGAAGAGAGAGGATTTATGGTCCCATTCACTCAGTCCCTCTCTTCCTCTTTCTTTTTGTTGGCCCCAGGGCCACGGGCTGCCAGGATGTATCTGTATATCCATTGATGACGGCTGAAGGCTGTGTTCTGCAGGCAGATGTCCTCCCCTCCACCGGGTAAAACCACAGTAAAAACCCCTCTGCTCTTTGATACCTCACCCAGACTTCCAAACATCTGCAGATCATTGGCACTGGAGATCTCAAAACCAATGCTCTGCACAACTCAACAATGTCTTTATGATCAGGCCTAAAAAATAGCCTGCTTTGTTCTTTACTTGCTCTGAAGTTCTAGGTGAGAAATGGCCTCTTATATATTGCCATGGAACTGATGGTGAACCATTTGTGCTGCAGACATGAGCGATATCTAAATCGTGCAGCTTGTTGAGGAAGTGTGCTATTACTTTGTGATTAGATTTACGTACAAAGCAGATGAAATAAAAATCCCACTGACATTGATGGAGGGAGACCAGAATATCCAACACAATCTCATGGCAATTTGTAACTGTTTTACATTTTGGTGAATTGGTGGCTAGTTTACACCCCAGTCGTGGTTATTTTTAGGGGTGGACCTTCATGCTGTATGTTTTTCCAAAAATCGTTTTCATACGATTCACATTGCACAAATTCATACAACTTCGGCACCTCATAAAATAGCTATGTTTTACCATGAATTCGGGTTGGAATATTATAGAGACTTTGTTGTGGTCACCTTGAACACACTGTCAACCACAAAACAACACCCTGGCAGCACTTTATTATGGCAGCAAGCTCTGCAAAAGCATGAAAGAGAGCCTTCAGAAAATGTAAAAATCTGTTTCAATCTGTCAACATTTCCACACTCCCAAAGTCCGTGAGTTCCAACTATTATTCTTTCTGTAGTTTGTGGGTTTTCTCTGAAACTCTTTGTTATTTATCAGCCTGTGCTTGCAGATATGACCTTCAGCTCAAAAACTGAGATACTTCACACACTTCCTCCAAAGAACCTCACCTTGAACCATGCTCACATTCAAAAGACAGAAATAAAGGCATGCAGCACAGTTGTGTACACTGTAAAAAATTATTGTGATTTTAACAGTAAAAGACTGTAAGTAGATGAGGCGATTGTGTTATGCAGTGTGTGTAGATGTGTTTTCTGTTTGTGTGTGTGTGTGTGTGTGTGTGTGTGTGGTGTACCAGAATCCTGACCTATAGCCCGCTGTGTAAAGCTGCAGGGTTTATGCATCACTCCTCAGCAGGGGTCTTACAGCCTGGACCACTTACTTTAACATTAGCATTTCTACCAGCCATTTCCTCTCTGTAAACTCCAGAAACACTGCACATGATACGAACTCTTGCCTCTATTCTGACCCTGTACGTCAAGGGTTGTTGTGACATCATTGCTAATATATGACAACTGCACTCAACATACACATTATAAATATTTATGTTCACTCTGTAAAGACAATAAGAGCAACATAAATGGTTGAAATACATCAAGGAATTTGCTTGTTACAAATGGGCATGTGGCAACAATTACAGAATCGCCAGACCTAAAATCTGTAAACTCCTGAATTCATTGACTAATCTTTCAAAGACCGAGAGCTTATAGAAGAGGCTGGTTTTTAAGCAATTTAGCTATAAAAGCCTCCCTCAAACTAGGGTAAAGCACACATCCCAGCAAAAACTTTGTGGCACTTCCAACACTCACAAGCAATGAGCTTGTAGATAAATGACACATTAAACAGAGATGTGTTTGTAATTAGCTCCTTCCCAATCACTGTCCCATGAGCCCAGCACGAAGCCCAGTTAAGTACACAAAAGTGACAGTGATTTGACACTTCGTCAGACTTAATATATGGCAACGAACCAGCCATTTTGTCTACTACAGCATACAAATTGATAACCACAATCCTGAGAAATAATGCATGAGATGTTATCAAGTAGTTATATGGTGCTGTTCAAGAGATATGGGCTGGGTTTTCAGAGCAGGGCTAAAGCTCATTGTAGCTGTCAGTCCCAACAGGATAACGGTCCTAATGCATTCCCATCACACAACCTGCACCTCAAGCATCCTTAAACCACACAATGCCATGATGTATCCCATTGGTTTCAATTAAAAAATTAGTTATTTTTCTTCAACCTCCTTTTGAGTTTATTAAAAGGTCTATCTCTTTCTCAATGCAGTTTCAATTTAGTGTTCTTCACAAACAAAAACTACATTGCCAAAACAGCACCAAATAAACGAAATAAAATAACAAAATTGAATAAATGAGAAAAAAAGGCATTAACTGAATAAAATATGATTACATATCTATGAAAATAAATATAATGAGCACTTGGTAAATTAAAGAGGAATAGCCTACATTGCGAAGGTAACTGGGAGTTGAAGAAAGGATGACAAATAAGACAAGTGCGCCGATAATTGTAATATGAGCCAGCGTTTCTACAGAGATCACGGTCTCTCCATCTCTCCTCTCATCGTACCTGCTTTGAAGAAGGCATCCGTTTCTGAATCATTGGGTCCGTCCTCCGCCGCTTCAGCAGAATTCATCTTTCCTCTTAGATCTCACAGTTCAAGATAACGGGAAATATATCCAGATTCAGCGCTCCATCATCTCTATATGTCTGTGTTGTGATGGCACAGCCCTCGATCAGAGCGACAAAGCGCAGCTCTGCATTGCCTTCTATTGTCTCCAGATGCGCCTCTCCTCCTCAGATCGCTCTCATCGCTTCGTAAGAGTCGGTTCGTTTGAACCGGTTCACTGATCGATTCTTTCGCGAATCGGTCTATCCGGTCGGAGCGGTTCTCAAAAGCACTGAACTGTTGTTTCGGACTTGTCCGACTCTAACCGAGTCAAGAGCCGCTGAACATGATCCTCATTGCTCGGGGTTAGGATGAGTTGATCAATGGGTCGCAAAGTAAGTGAATAGAGTTAAGAAATAGCCTTAGGAAACAACTTATGTGTAGTGTGACAGCTCACACAAAGGGCAAAGAGATTGGTTTTAAGGCAAAACATTGTAACTATTAGAAAATATGAGGCATGTTTACATCCAAAGTAGGCTATTTCTGCAAATAGCCTAAGATAATCAGCATTTGCCTCAGTGGTATTTTCAATTTTCAAAGAAAAGCAAATTAAACAGGGCTTAATGTTAATCTCAGTTAGTGTGGGGCATCAAAGTGAACTATAAAACACATCCAAATGTAATGCTGTAGGCCAACGTGAATTAAGGCTAAAACACAATAAATAATTGCGTTGCATACATTGGCATGTATTGTTGAAAGATTTTCAAATGTTAAATGGTACGGGTGTGACGTAAATTACCGATGAATCTTTTTTTTGAATCTCTATATTTAAATGAACGGTTCAAAAGAACCGATTCGCGGAATTGAGTCGGAGCAGCTCAACACAAAGCGTGTGTCAGATGAGAAAGAGCTCGTCCCTGCCAGTCAACGCGGATGATGTCATGAATCCTGAATCATGTCAGCGGGCGTGTTGGTCACTCTTTTCCTCTCTTATAAATATTTTCTTTAACAAGTTAATGAGTTATTTTAGAAACGTAAGCATACTCGTTTAGATGGCCTCCCGGAGCGCCAGAGACTGTGTTTGCGGCTCTGGATTGTAGGCTATTTTTCCAACAATAGAGAGCAGAAGGGAAGTGTGTGCGCGTGTGTTTGTGTGTGTGTGTGTGTGTGTGTGTGTCCTCCCTCTGTGAAATATCACGCCCCCTTCACTCAAGCACTCTTCGGGCTATTGATGAATCCTAATGCTGAGAACATGTATTTTCATAATAAATAGGAAGCACGTGTGTATGTGTGCATTGTGTTGTACACACACGTTCGTATGCGCTGCTACACTACAAAAATTAAATAAAATAAAGACACACACATATACCGTGGGTAAAATAAGTATTGAACACATCCACATTTTTCTCAGTAAATATATTTCTAAAGGTGCCGTTGACATGCAATTATCACCAGATGTCGGTAACAACCCAAGTACTCCATACATACAAAAAGCAAAACAAATAAGTTCAGAAATTAAGTTCTGTGTAATAAAGTGGAATGACACAGGGAAAAAGTGTTGAACACATGAAGAACGGGAGATGCAAAAAGACATGGAAAGCCAAGACACCAGCTGAAATCTATCAGTAATTAGAAAGCAATCCTGCCCCTCGTCAGTGGAAATTAATATTAGCTGCTTCAGTCGCAACTGATGGCCTATAAAAAGGTGTCTCATGACCAATGTGTCACACAAGAAACATTTCATGATGGGTAAAAGCAAAGAGCTCTCTCAAGACATTCACAACCTTATTGTTGCAAAACATACTGATGGCATTGGTTACAGAAGGATTTCTATACTTCTGATGTTCCAGTGAGCTCTGTTGGGGCCATAATCTGGAAGTGGAACATAATTTCACCATAAACCGGCCACGACCAGGTGCTCCTCGCAAGATTTCTGACAGCAATTATCAGAAGAGTTGTCCAAGAGCCAAGGACCACTTGTGGAGAGCTTCAGAAAGACCTGGAGAACTAATTCTGGGGAAATAATGTAGTTTGTTTTGAATGGGTTTTGTTTTTTTGTTGTAGAATTAATATTTAAAATACATTTCATAAAATGCATTTTAAAATAACGTTTTGATTATTTAGTGATGAAAGCTGTTTGCTTCTGAGAAGCTTTCAAACCAGCTGATAAACAGACTGGTTGTGGGGTCTCTTTAGAAGAGAAATATTGAGGATGTACTGCCCCCTGGCGACTGACACTAAATAGCACAGTTGAAATCAATTATTTTGGGTGGTTCAGAGACACTGGGCACCTTGCTTGTAAACGTCTCCAAGCATCAAATCGTTAACTAGAACTATACAAAACTAGGTACAAAGACTAGGTAAAAACTATATGTGACCCTGGAGCACAAAAGCAGTCTTAAGTCGCTGGGGTATATTTGTAGC